GATCGGTTGATTGCCCTAACCTCTTGGAAAGAATAACTTTCAATGTTCCTACACGTAATTTACGCAGTGTTTCTTCTTTCTATATTGTATTTTCTAAAACGAACTATGCAATGTATGCTCCCTTGATTAGAACCTTAGTGGAGCTGAACAATATTTCAACTTTTGACCCGTCTCTATCTTGTGGAGTAGTTCGTACTTTATTATACAACTATTTTAACTAGTTTTAAGTACCTTTGGATTATAGTCAGTAAGAATTTATTGTTCAATTGACTGAAATAAATAAAATAAAAAAAATAAAAATAAAAAATAAAAAATAAAATAAACACAAATTCAGCAAATTTGTAAATCAATTCTAAGCAGTTTTGGCTACTAAAAGTACAAGAACTTTATTTAAGAGATGTCTGTTGCGCTTGCTTCTGCCTTTGCCCGCGCTTAGAGATTATAAGCCTTACTAAGCAGAATTCTCCTTTCTGTGTTGGCGGAGAAGAGGGCTTCCGCAAAGGTATACAACATTTATTGCGCATATAATTCCGGCTACGCCATCCACAGTATTTTTGCGCAGAACCCACATCGAAATTTACAAAAAAGGGCATAGTGCAAACCAAATTTATCAATAAACTAGTGCTCGGAAATTTGAATCCTTTGTTTAAATTAAAATTTTAATCCTTTGACTACATGTGTCTGTTAAAGTTTTTAGATTCGGGTCATGTGTTTGGACACAACAACCGAAAAACTTTGTTTAATAAGTAAACCGGACCCAAGTTTCTCAATAAGGGGGTGCAACTAACATTCTTTTTTGTTCGTTCATATAACGCAATGGATTAAATTGTTTCCGTACAAAATTACACAAAAAAGGTGTAAATTTCTAACTCGTTCGGAAGTACGACTCGGATTGCAGCAAACCTTTTCTACGATTCGTAGCAAAATCCGAATACGAAAGCGTTGCAGAATAGGGGTGTATATCTCGATAGCCATTACACCAATTTCTCCCAAACCTGACAAATAGAAAATGGATGAAAATTTTCAAAATCGGACAAAACCACGAAATTTTCGACAAATCAGTAGCTATTTAACCCAATATACTCAAAATTTATTTCTTTTTTGTAAGCGCCTGTGTGCTCAACAGGGACTAATAGAACGCAGTGGACGAAGCTACAGACACCGAGTGCCTTCTGGTGTCGCCACCAGCGTTGCCGTTTTGGTCCAATTAGACCAGCATTGGTAGCTTCATTCTCCGTTGGTAGCTTGGTTGGTTTGATGAAGCTTTTGGTAGGCAAAAATACTTTGAAAATACAACGAAATTGAACATTAGAATTTGTTCGCTTAATTTGCGTTTACGAGTTCAAAACACTGCTTACACGTATAAGATTTCTTTACTTTTTCTAAATTTTATTAAGCAGAGAATACTGTAAACAATATTATGTGTACTTTTAATTTTTACTGTTAATTTGTGTAGCTAGAAACCCCGCACACCCGAAAAATCTCGTTTTAATGATGAAAAAATTTTGGTAGTTTAGAAACTGATTTGGTAGGCGTTTAGGTACCTAAAAATATTTTTTAGTGGCAATACTTTTCGCAACAACACCATCTACACGACGAGGCTCAAATACTCCTCGCCTTAGTGTGCCTCGGAAGACTCGCATCATAATAGCCGAACTTCTCTTAAAAAAAAATAAATAAAAATAAGCCTATTATGAAGTTTTGGAGAAATGGGCGTGGCACAGAGCAGTTTTAATATATTTTCTGTATTTTTTCCTTACAAAGTGTGTTCGACAATTCTTTTATATGGGGAAAAATGGGAAACACTAATGTGAAATACACACATGAATTGTTTTAATATAAAAATAACACTTTTTGTGTATCTAATATGGATGCATGTATGTATCACTTCTCTGATTGTTAAAGAAAATCTGATTTAGATTGTGTGCGTCTGTAATTAATCTTATTTTCTTTTATGTAATTCGCTTACCTTGAGTGTGACCTCCAAGATCAAATGTGGTGAAGCGCATGTTACCAATTGATAATTCTTCTGACGCTATTGAGATGAAAAGCAAAATTGTTTAGTCAACTTAGCAGAACAAAAATGAGCTACTTTATGTCTACTTACTTGGATGCAGAGTTGGTACGTGCTGTGCAAGTTTATCATCTTTGAGCATATGCAATAATGTTGTTTTACCGGCATTGTCCAAACCAAGGAATAATAGCTTGCCAGACTTTTTCCACAGACCTATACGAAGAGTTTAAAGTAACTATTAGGGAAATAGAATATAAAATCAATCGATGTTCTACGTCCATTTTATTAAATTTAACAGATCAAAACCTCATTTTCTTCATGTATTTTGCAAAACTTTCAATACAACATTTTGCCTGTTAAACTTCATACGAATCAGAAGGATTCGATGTTAATTGAAAATTTATTATAATAAACGAGAATAATACAAATACTTTAATTATTTTACACAGAAAAGACGCATCCCTAATTTAAAAGTGTACACAAGCTCGTTAAGAGCCTTAAATTAGTTTATTTTTAAGGGAGACCTACAGCAAGAGCTAATAAGGTGTAGAAACAGAGATTATATTTTTCTGGAAAAATTCTTCCTATTACGGGCATTTCATAATCCTAAAGATAATGATAATGTACGAGCTAAAACATCCAATATGTACTAAGCTAAGAGTATTTAATGTTTTCAAAACGTTATGTGTGTAAATAGAACATTGTATTTTGAATAAGATTCTGCTCTGGCTAATAAAGCGTGTATTGCGAAAAAAAAATTATGAAGTGAAAATATTCAACGTTTTATTATACACGTTGTATATACATGATTATCTGATTATCCCGTTTTTATTTTAAGATTTTAAAAAGTTCATGTACATACATATACGTGCATATTTATGTATATACATATACTTTATGTGAGTAGATATGATTTTGGCACGACTATGCATAATTGGCACTTTAAGAACTTGCCATTTTCGTCTGTCATGTTTTTTTTTTGCATAAATTACATTTTAATACAATATGCATTCCCTACTTGCCTTGTTGGCAACATTTCAAAAAAATGTTTAAAAGAGGGGTCAGTCATAGGAGGTATATCCTTTTTTAATTACATACAAAAATTATTTCAAATATTTACCTAAATATCCTAAAACACCAGTGAACCAATCCCAAATAAACATTTTGTTATGACGTTGCTTTGCAGAAACAGAGGAAAAGGTCTTACAAGTAGGTATAAATAACTCGTCTTATGCTGAAACGATAAAATAGTTAGATATTTAATACAAATATTTGCTTTCTTCATGATTCAATTATTACTGAATCATGTGATGTGCCCATTCAATTTTTTAAGACCTAAAGCAAGTACAAGACAAAGAAATAGTTGAAGTGAATTAGAAATAAAATTTTTCTTTCAATATAATTAACTAATTACATAAAGATAAAGTCTAATTTAGTAAATAGGGCATTGCTATTAAATTATAAGTCTCTAAAAACTTCAATACCAAAAATCATGAAAATTTATAATTTTTAAACCGGAGGACACCGTACAAGGCGCATCAATGCCGCCTTGGCACCGTAGTAGCAACTTTCAAACAGTGGGACGAGGTCGCGGAGTATGCGTGTATGTGGAAACTTTCTTCGCCTTCGCAACTGTTTTCTGTTTCGTCACCAACTGTATATGTATGTACATAAGCATATACTAATCCCGTGCCCCACCCCTTAAACCAAGATTATTTTATTAAATATTTATATATTCCCGCAAACTTTACTCCCATTACATTTCGAAGCAAGATATTTATCTAGTTGCGACCAATCATCGAGATACAAGTCATTTTTGTCGTCCACCGTGAAACCGTGATTCTTTGCACATATCTTAATTCACCACTCTTAGCACTTTCCTTTTCGCAATTTACAATCAATATATTTATGCCAGAGTTCCAAATATGTACCTTATAAATTATCTACAATAAAATTAAAAATCTCCACGCAATAATTGAAAACTTTTAATTTATCTTCGCCTTTCCGTGTTCCTACGTTTTCATTTGAAGTATAAAAGAAAGACGGAGACAATGACAACGACGACGATAGTGGACAAAAACCAGCTAAAGGAAAACGGTGCAAGTGTTGCCACTTTTATTTATTAACAAAATTGGTAGAAAATTTTGGGTTAGTAAATAGAATGTTCCAATAGCAGTCCGGTTTACAGGATTTAGTCAGAACTTACAGGAAGTCATTCCTATTGACATAAAACCTGTAAGTGGGAACACTTTTGAGAGAGAGTAACTCAGCAACTGTTCCTAGTCAGACATTACAGGATTTAGTCCGGAGTTTCTTTTCCTGTAAGTTCATGAAAAGTGCCAAACGACCAGCTGATTTGCATGTGCAAACAAAAACAATAAACAGTGGAAGCAAAGAACCTTATATTTGTAAAAAAAATGGAAGTAAACAACGAAATGTTTGAATATGTATAGTTTTTAATAATTATTTAGTGATATTTCAGCCATATCAGTGTTGTACAGATGACATGTAAACAAACCGACTGACGTTTTTACAGGAAATAGTGCTTTTTGCGTTCCCGTGCCCTTCTGCATCTGTTCTCCTTTTACTCTCACTTGAGAGAGTAAAATTGTAGTTTGACAGTTCCACAGGTTTTAGTCCGAAGTTCAAAAGAACAGACTACAAAAGATAACCTTTTTCTCATTTTGGTAGATTTTTGTTAAAAGTATTTTGTTTGAAAAACAAACAAAAGTTAGTTCCCGCTTTATTTGTCGTAGTTAGCTTTATATTATACATTTCTTTCCAAAATTGCATCAATTTTCGAATGCTTTAATTCACACTTTTTATATACATTTATGCATAGATATCGATAAAAGGTGAACATATCCTCAGCAGCTTCAAATTGCCTAATGCCTTGGTTATAATAGACGGCGAATCGTAACAAATCGCGGAGAATTCGTAAGGATCTATTGATTTTAGATTGTTCCGTTTTACGTTACGTTTACGTGCATTATAACCATTTGCATTCGTTTCCCATGCAATAGATAATTAAGTGAAAGTTCACTCCGTTCCGTTACTTCCATTATAATCCAGGCATACATATTTAAAATAGGGGTCTTCATCAAAAGTGATAAACTCTTGATACACTTGATAAAGTTTATCACTTTATCAAACGACTTTGGTGGATAAATGTATAAATTTCAGCAAAATTCAACCCTTACAAGTTGCGAGGTAGTCGCTTTCGAAATTCGAACACATAAAAGCAAATGAACGCAATGTACGAGGTAAGAATGAAACGTATCACTTTATTAAACGATTTTGGTAGATAAATGTACAAATTTCAGCAAAATTCGACCGTGACAGGTTGCGAGCTGGGTCGCTTTCACTACGAACACATAAAAAGCAAATGAACCCAATGGACGTGGTGAAAATGAAACATAACTAGCGATATAAATTAAATAATAAAAATTTGTATGTAATAGATCAAGGTGCGTTCATGAAAGAATGCAGACAAAGTGATAAATTTAAGCAATTTATCTCTTTATATGAAGGCCCCTACTATGATTTTGCCAAAAAGAAATTAACACCAGTTTTTATAAATGACAATTGTAAAAAAAAAACACAAGACTGGCGTCAATGTTTTTTATAAACCAACGGCAATTTTTAGCTACACATTGTTTGTTATACTAAAATTTCATGGACGATAAAACTGCATACCCAAAATTGTTGTAAAATTCAGAGTAAAAAGATCGAAATTTAGACGAAAATTTTTAATTTATCTAAAGGTTGGATAAAGCTTGAGTCCTTGATTTTTATGGGTTTGTTTAATAATACAATATTCTTATACAATAAAAAGGAAAGCTTGAGTCCTTGATTTTTATGGGTTTGTTTAATAATACAATATTCTTATACAAGAAAAAGGAAAAAACTTTTACGTGAAAAACATTGCGAATATTAGAAAAATATCAAGCGGCGGTTTGAGTCAATGTGTTTGGGTATAGCAACTCCAGTTGAAGTTTTTTCAAATGATGAAGTTTCGTTGTTGCCATAAGTTACTTTCGCTTTTGGATAAAAAAAAACGAGAAGATGCCATTAATATGATCTCAAATGCCCTAACATTAGTTAAAAACAAAGTTCATTGATAAACTATTATAATTGTTGATGAAATAACTAAAAAATGCAACAAAAAGTTATTATTAAAATAACTAAAAAAGTTATTGGTAGATATTTTCCAGATTTGGTAGATTTTTTTCAAGTGGATGGTAAGTATTTTTTTCGTCACTGGCAACCCTGGCACTGATAGCAAAAATCTTGGCAACAACGACACGACAGCGAAGCAAATTTCAATAAAAAATTATTTTTTCCTCGTGTTTGCTTTCAACTTGTGTTGCCGTTCCAGAATTATTAGCGACCAGAATGTGCTCCATAACGAAAATCCCACAAAACCACACATACAATACGGGTTTCTTCCACGGCGCAGTGTATTCTATCATTCTTGGGTTTCTTCTAACGCTGCGTTTACTGGCCGGCCACACGTGCATGTCCAAGTTCGAAAAACTCAAAACATTCACATCTTTTTTCTAAAGAGCGTGTCTGACGTGGCAATATTTCCAACTTTTCCATGCAATTCGCTCTCAAATTGATAAAGAGAAATTTTGTTTCGATGTGTTAACAGCCAGAAAGACCATTCTGTCAAATTTCGGAAATCAGTTTCAGAAATATGTATAAAATGCAAGGCGAATTAATATAAGGTGATAGCAGTAGTACAAAAACAAAAATTTACATGAATTTTGTTTTTGCTTTGGCGGCATAAACTGTCAAAATCTGTAAGAGTGTGTGTAGAAATTCAAACAAAATTTTTCAATTTGATATCAGAAGCCGTGCGGCGAAACATATACACAAAATCAGCTGAGCTAGTCACACCACCTTATATAAATTCGCCTTGGCAAAATGTGACTACAATTGAACGAGCGAAACCCGATTTCGAAAATATATTTCAATTTGCTCGCGCTTCACATTGACGGAATTATACCAGGTGTAGTAATTAGAGCGAGAATAAAGATTTTGACACTGCTTTATTTTAAAATTGCCTTTAAAATTTGACTATCAGAGTTTGAATGCCAGGAAATAAAGCGGGAAAGCTGTTTTATTACTTCACCTGTTTATTGCGCCATGGCGCTGAACTAGCAATTTTTATTTCTGTGCAAGTATTGTTAAACTAATCTAGTTTTGGCATGTTACACTGGTCGCGAGTTTGTTAGAAATAATAACGCATAATTTTGAATAAACTAATAGAAATGATTTTAGCTAAGCATTTTTAGGAATTTAATATTTTAGTTATGAATAATAAATTAATCTTCAAACTGAAAATTATGTTTCTTATAACGAAGATAAATAACCAACAACCGGTAAAGTGGCTCACGGTTGCATTTTAGTATCGAGAAAGATTGCCAGCAATTCATTCGCAGTGTGAACAGCCAAAAACCTCTTTCAGAAATTTTCCCTGCAATTGGCCTTTCAGAAATAAAAGAAAAACCCCTTTCGAAAGACACTTTACATGCAAGGTGTGACTGCTCATGCAACTGCTTTCTGAGATTTCTTAATTTGACAGCCTTTTCGAAATATATTTCAATGCCACGTCTGACACGTTCTTAACGTTTGCTGCGGATCAAAAGTGCCTTCCAAGGCGTATTCAATACGCCTTAAATTAAATACGCCTTGGTGCCTTCTAAATTTTCATGCAACTGGACCGAGACAAATTTCCAGTACTTTCTGGATGTGTAAGCAAGCAGTTCATTGTATTTGGGGCAACAAGGGTATTTCATTTGAAAAATGTTGATAAATTATATTCCGTTCCGAACGAATGCATTCGGAATAATTATTAAAGGGTAAAATTCCGCATAAAGCTGGAACTCCATAGGAAAGCGTATGCGTGCCTGTGCGATATCCCTTGGCATGCGCTTACGTGCATAAAAGCTGGAGCAACTCCATACTGTGCACCTACAAGAATTTGGCAGTTGTCATTTAGACAAGTTGATGCAGCACACATACACATTTTTATACATATTTATAAAGACAACAGGTTTCTTCTTTTACAAATTATCCAGTAACTTGCCACTTAACTTAATTTCTGAGAATTCGCTCTCATAGGACAAAAGTACAAGAACGCAAAACCAGTAATAATTCGCAAGTTTTACGAACATCTGATTATTATTTTTTTTATTCGCAGCTAGTTGCTAATAAAACAATATATATTATATTTAAATAAGTTTATTTTGCCAATTTCAACTATAAAAACCTAACAAACATCTCTTTTATTAGTTTCAATTCCACCCAGCAACATGGGATCAGCTGTTTTTCTCTATATATTGTTTTATTAGGAACTAGCTGCGTATAAACAACAAATTAATCAGCTGTTCGTAAAACTCATGAACAAACGATTAAAGATCACCAAGGACGGAAAAAAGTAATTTTTTTTGCAGTGACGTCACTTTCGCCATGTGAATGAAACGGAATGAAACCTGTGTGTGAATGAAAGAACCGTCAAATGAAAGAACCGAAAATGACGTCATCAACTATTATTTTTTTTCTCAAATGCAATTACAAATACACGGTTGCCATGCTGGGTGATCATGTTCATGCGTAAAACTTGAAATTATTACTGGTTTTGCATTAGGAGTGTTCGCTATGCACAAAATTTGTACAAGTTGGTACCAATTATTACCAAATCGTGTTCGTTTAGCCAAAAACCCAGTAAAACTTGCAAGGAGAGAGCACAATTTAGACATTTCATTTGGAGGGGAAGTTGGAAATTCGTGCTGGGAAAATTTTTGCCATTAAAAATTTGCAAGCAGGATTGTGGCACACGGTTGCATTTTTATCAACATTTATTTGAATCAACAAGTTCGTTAAATTTAAAAATGAACAATTTTGTTGCGATTTACTAATGGAAGAAGTAGGTAAATATTCGTTTATTCAATTAATTTAATTAATTCCAAACATTTGAAAGGTACTCGGCTGTATTCGTAATCGGAATGCACTCGACACCACTGTCGATATAGGA